ACTTTTTTAAAACTCCATTTAAAAAATGAAATTTTAAATTGTAATATTTTAAAAAACATGATATTTATTTGAAATGTTCTGAATTAAAGAAAACAGAAAATCCAGCATATACAAATTTCCTAAAACCGATATTTCTCTGGCACCTAGAGGGGCCAGGCCATCTCGTGTTCACTAGGTCGCTCGCCTTTGCGAAGGAGCAACCATTTGTCACACAGAGCCGCATATACAAATTTCCCGCATTTTCTATTTGGCTCATTTAGTGTCAAACCGTACTAGACAACCGAAACGGGACAACCAATTTAGATATATATTCCTTCCCTGGTTTCGGGCGACATCGCTAGTTTTTTTAAATGAAGGCAAAAGCTTTGCCTTTTTCATTAATAAAAAAGAAGATAGTTGTCCAATTAATTACGTAAAACTGTGTGAAAACTGATACGAACAGGGCCAAGCCCGTTCAAAAGCACGACGCACCCAGAGTCAGGTCCACTCGCACCAACTTGACACCCCCAACAAAAAATGCCCAGCATGACGCACCACAACCACCATCCCACAACAACATCACGCACCACAACAGAAAAGGCCCAGCATTACGCACCACCCAGATCACTAGTTAAGAATACCCCTTGCAAAGGGCATCTTACTTCCTTCGGTTAACAAGTGACGCCACTTGTTGCAAACCTGTGAATTTTCCTTTTTCGTAGATTTGATTATTCAAACTTTTGATCTCTTGAAGCATGCGTTCAAATCCTGAACCATTTTCACCTTTTGATTTCTCTCCTTGAGATATTTAAAGCAAGATCTCATGTTAATAGGTTTGAACGAACTTATTTTTCACGAAAAAACGAAAAGGAAAAACCAAGATGGAAGTACAGTTTTTTTCTTCACTTTTTCGCCTTTCCGACTATGCCTCTCGCGGAAGCCAATCTATGCTTCTTGTGGAAGGAAAATAAATCGCACTTTTCTCTTTTGGAGAGGCACAATTGTGCCCCTCGCGGAAGCAAATTTGTGCCTCTGCGAGAAGCAAATCTGTGTGTTCTCACGGAAGGGAAAAAGGCATGTTTTTCCCTTTCTGAGAGGCATAATTGTGCCTCTCGCAGAAGCATTCCGATCAATCTATTGAGCTATTCTTATAAATGTCACAAATAACCCTAGAGTTCGTACTAAAATAACACCATATGATACACATCAACCAACTCTAATGTCACCTAGATACTCCAATGTCAGCACAAATATCCGTGAGTTGATTATTCGATATGCATCAAACAACTTCAGATTCATAATATTTAATTTAACACAAAAAACTTCAAAGAGTGTCCCAAGATTTCTACCAGAAAAAGTAGGACGAAAACATGCATCAACCCCTATGCATAGATTACCCCAATGTCACCTCAGGGATTCGCGAGTTAAGTGCCAAAACATATATCAAGTGAATCAATATAATACCCCATTGTCACCAGGGGTACTCATATGCAAGACATACATCAGGTGTTCTCAAATCCATAAAAGTATTCAATCCGATAATAGTGAAACCTGAAAGGTAAAAGTCAATTCATCACAATAAGATAGAGAGGTAGAAACACTATATGATCCAACTATATTAACAAAAGTTGTGGTATATCAAGATCGTGCCAAATAAAGAATATGAGATAAATAAATCAAACACATAGCTATTGGTACATACCCTCAGCCCTGAGGATGAACTACTCTCTTCTCGTCATGGAGGCCATCGGGATGATGAAGATGGCCTAACGCATACCTACCAGGCTTGTCGCCTCCTCGTGGCTCTTCTGGTCCTTCCATGAAGCTTCGGCAGTCTCTTTTGGTCCACACAAAATCATCGTAAATTTTCAACCCATGTCACGTGATCATTGAGTAGTTCCTAATGCATTCTCAATCTTGAAGTTGTCAATTCATCTCCATACAATTGCGCCTCTCGCAGTAGCAAATATATGCTTCCCGGGAAGCAAAAGAAAATGTGTTTTTTCCTTTTCCAAGAGACACAGTTATGCCTCCTGTAGAAACAAATATGTGCCTCAACGAGAAGCAAATATTGGCCACCTGTGGAAGTAAAAAAAAGCACGTTTTCCCATTTCTTGTGCCTCTCACAGAAGAAAATATGTATCTCCGCGAGAAGCAAATATGTGCCTCCTATTGGAAAAAAACATGTTATTTCCCGCAATTTTATTTTTTATTTTTTGGGTTCAAAACCTAAGGAAAACCGGACGAAAAACAAAAAGCTAAAAAAAAACCTGAAAAAACCATCTGAAACCCGAAAACACGTACAAAAAAATTAGAAAACACAAAATCCTGACAGAGTGCCCATCATGCGACATGTGGCGGCGGTGACGCGCTCTCAGCCCACAAGTGACACTTGAGGGCTCCCAGAAGGGGTATCCCTTGATTAGTTACTCCCATTTTGGGGAATGTTCGGGAAGGTTTCACTTCTGTTTTACTGGGTTCTTTGTTTTATCTTTTCTGCTATTTTCGAAAAAAAAACTTTTTTCTGTTTTTACAGGATATTCCTTTTTCAATTAATTGTAAATTTCTAGGAATATTTCTTTTTGAAATTCTTTTCACATGTTACAAAACATGTTTGGAATTTCAAAAATGTTTGCATTTTCAAAAATTGCCCACCTTTTCGTAATTTCAGAATTAAAGAAGTTCGTTTTCAAAAATTCTTCATAATTTCAAATAATATTCGAAATTTCAAAAAGTGTTTCATTTTTTCAAAATAAGTTCCCAAGTAATATTCAAATTTTTTATAATAAATAGTGATATTAAAACCCGAATGGAAAAATTCTACAGTACCCGGTCTACTACAGTATTGCTATAGTCATTTTACTGCATTACATAGCACAGCAACATGGGCCGGCCCAGTCAAGGGGGCCCTGTGGGGCGCCAGTTTGACACGCGGGGTTTAAATAGGAGGTCCAAAAATGGGTGCCCATGTATCTCGCATTCAGCGAGTCTAGCTTCCGACTCGCGGAAAGGGGGAGCGAGATGGGCCAACCAACGCGTGCGGGAGGCCACCGCCTCTTTTGCTATTTTTTTACATTTTCTGTTTTTGTTTTATTGCATTATTTTATACTTTTTATACTTTAAAATAATCTAATTATATATATTAAAAAAATACTCTACAAACAACATTCGAAAAATATTGAATAAGTATTTGAAAAATATTGAATAAATATAAAAAAATGTTAATCAAGCATTCGGAAAATGTGAGCATGTATAGAAAAAATACTGATCACGTATTAGAAAAATGATGAATTTTTTATATATAAAAATGTTAATCAAGCATTTGAAAAAATGTTGAAAAAGTATTTAAAAATGTCGATAAGGCATTTGGGAAATCATAAATGTGTATAGAAAAAATGTTGAGCATGTAATAAAAAATGATGAACAATTTGATCATGTATCTAAAAGTTTTAATCAAGCATTTGAAAAATGTTAATCAAGCATTTGGGAAATGTTAAATGTGTATAGAAAAATGTTGACCATGTAGTAAAAAAAGTTAATCTTTTTATTTGAAACATTTTAGACATTTCGAAAATGTTGTCCATGTATTTAAAAAATGTGAAACTTGTATTTGAAAAATATTAATCAAGCATTTCAAAAACCTTAAATGTGTGTATAGAAAAAATGTTGACCATGTATTAAAAAGACGTTAATCTTGTAACGGAAAAATGTTAATCAAACATTTCTAAAATCTTTAAAATTTATATGGACATTTTTTTTGACCATGTATTACAAAAATATTAAATTTGTATTGGAAAATTTTTAGACCTGTAATAGAAAAATGTTGTTGACATATATCAAAAAAATATAATGAAAACCAAAAGAACAAAGAAAAGCGAAAAAGAAACAAAATAAACCAAAGAAAAAAGAAAATGAAAAATAAAACTGAAAAAACAAAATGCAAAAAGGAATGAAAACGAATGAAAAATTTGAGAAGAAACAAAAGAAAACGAGAGAAAACCAGCTCGGATCGTCTCAAGTAGGACACACCCCTACTACTTATTACTAATGGGACTTGGGCGAAGTGGCTAGCAGCGCCGCGATCTCCATGGAGACCAAGGATCAATCCAAATAGGGATGAAAACGGAGCGGAAAGTATTGTACATGCCTATTCATAAACGGGAGTATAGTTTTCGGAGGGAGTACTATTGTACATGCCGGCTATCAGGTTGGCTATAGATGACATGGCAACTCCTTATAGCTGATTGTTGGCTCTATTATTAACCATGCTCTTAGCGCCGTTTTCATTTCAGCATTAAAGTGCATATCTTTAATGGTGGACTCTTCAGAAGCTATAGCCAGTTATTTAGCTTTGCTTTTTGCCTGATTTTTTAAAATTAAGTGGACAACTCTTTTCTTCTTAACTAATAAAAATCATGAGACTTTTGTCTTGTTTCAAGAAACAAAAAACACTACGTGCAAATGCAGAGAGAGAAGTGCTAGGTTCATTTGTTAGTTGCACAGTCGATACTCGCTAGTAGTACTTCTATTTAACATTGCTTTTTTTTTCTCATGCTGTTGATCTTTCTAAGGTGTAACTGATCCAACTGATTGATCAATCAAAGAGATGTACTATGTACGATGGAGAAATGGACAGACGAACTAAACCCACTGAAGAACATTCAGGGGCTGCTTGATTGATACCTTGAGAGGACAGAACAACACGCAATGCATACTTGCATAGACCAGATACATTGTACTCGCTCCGTAAACTAATATAAAAGCGTTTATAAAATATCAAAATAATGATTTAAACACTCTTATATTAGTTTACAAAGGAGTGCTGGTGAAAGTAACTGATAGGATAATGCCAAAGAAAAAGGAGTAACCGATAGGATAATGTCAAATCAAAAGAAAAAAGGAGTAATTGATAGGGTTTTGTTTGCTCTTGGATTTTTAATCGCTCGATAGGCGACCAAACAAGAAGTGGAAAATTATATGGAGTAGTAAATATACACAGAGAGGGGTGATACTAGTACTAGTTACAGTTTGCTGGTGGGGGTGGTTGTCGTCGTTGCTGCGGCAGCGTACTTCTTGAGGGCGTCGCCGGCGTGGTGCAGGTTGTCCGGCACGGGCAGGTTGCAGAGCAGCGTGACCCTGGACTCGGAGATCTGTGGGCCCTTCTTCCCCTCCTCCGACGGGTCCATCTTCCACAGCTTCACCTCCCACACCTATCCAAATCCAGTTCCATGTCCGATTGAGCAAGCAAGCAAGCTAGAGCAAGGTCGCCAGCCGATCGATGAGGGCGCAGACCTGGGTGGAGCGTCCGAGGTGGACGGGGACGGCGCGCGCGAGGACGACGTCGCCGAGGGCGGCGCTGCGGAAGTGGTTGATGGCGAGGTGCACGCCGGCGACGCGGCGGTAGCCGGACGCCATGTGCGCGCCCATGCTGGCCAGGCCCTCCGACACCAGCGCCGACACGCCGCCGTGCAGCACCTTGAACGGCTGGCAGCAGCGCTCCGTGACCGGGAGCCGGCCGGAGAGCAGCGACGGCGACACCTCCTGCATCTCGAAGCCCACCCCGTGCAGCACCGGGTCCAGCTCCGCCATGTCGATAGCACTACTCGGCTTCTTCGCCGCCATGCCTGCCTCGCTTAATTATTCCCCTCCCCTTCGTGTTCACGGAGAAAAACTATGGTAGCTAGAAGAAGAGCCAGACAGCGAGCCAGAGGCAGAGTCAGCCGTGCAGTGCAATAATTACTGATAACTACTACAAGAGTTCTGAGGCAGTGGTCACCTAATCATCTGTCCGTTTTATTTTTTAATTTTTCATTAGTAGTTGGTCGATCACCTCCAACAACCATGCCACTACAGTACTCCTACTACTATTACCATAGACCAAGTGTTTATCTTAATCCTAATCACCAACAGTTCTTATATCGAAGTGAAATTAGTGGCTGCAGAGTGCAGAGTACTCCCTCCGTAAAGAAAGAAACAGAGGGAGTAGTACATCTGGAGGACACGTTCTAGAAATCAGCCCAGGCACCCCTAAAATAAAATCAGCCCAGGCAGATGGTCCACCCACGAGTCAGCCTGCAGCGCGAGTACTGGTGGAGTGCCGGGTAGGTAGGGAGAAGATGCCCTCGTTTCCTCGAAATTTCCAGGTGTATTTCCTTTTGCTTTGGACAATCTTCCAAAGTGACGTACGGGCGTTCGTTCAGGTCTGATCCGTTAGAAGAGAGGTTAGATTGGCCGAATATAATGGATGTATTATCGAGTCTTGAGCGCGAGATTTGAAGGACAAGACACCTTCTAGAGACAACTGCCTAGAGATAAGATGAAAACAATTTTTATCTAATCCCGGACAATCTCTAAATACCAAATATATCTCTAACATCCCACCCATACCCCCCCCCCCCCGGCGGCGTAGACGTAGCGGTACCGTTGCGGACAACCTGAGTGTTGCGGATGGTCAGACTGAAGAGAATAGCAGCCGATAGGCTAACATCCCCCCACAGTAACAGGGGGGCGTCGTGGA